ATATCAAATGCATTGTGTAACCGTAGGGAGGGGTTTGTGCCTGGAGTGCTAAAATTTGTTTTAAATATTGGAATTAACAGCACATTTCAAATAAACTGCATTTGCTCGGAAGCCACCTGGAAGAATACATTGCCATCAGGGTGTTTTATGTGTGCAATGATTTTACAATACATCTGCCATGTTTCAGGTGACGTCCAAGTCCCCGACAAGTTTTACGCGGGGAGTCCTTAGACATTAAACGCTTAATTACTTTTAGCTTGCCTGAGTATAGTAAATTGCCTGAGATTACCTGGGTCAATTGCTATTAGCTAACTTTGTTGCAACAGTAACGCTGCAAGTTGCTGAAAAAAAATGCTTGATGTGTTTGACAAGCTTCCGTGAGTTAAACGGTTTTGAACTCCTCCTCACTATCTCCGTTGGATGACACTCGTGACACAATACACACGACCATTTAGCAGGTTAAGAATGCCCCGTGCAATCAAATCGAACTGTCTAAAACTATGGAAATGTAGGGATGTGAACTTTTGTTCCGCACGCGACTTGATATCCCACCCTGGCAAATATTTCAATAGTTTCATAAGTCCTATCTATCGTGCCATTTTGTAACTGGAATGGCATGCTTTGAGATTGGGTTTTATTGCTTTGAGTAAAACGAGATGTTACATTTCAACAAAGTTTGATTTCTAGCACAAAATTAAACGATTAAAGTCTCATTTTGGGAGTGACTTTCCATATATGGAGGGGGGTAGACTTTTTAAGTTCTGTCTTTCATTTCCCAGATGCCGAACAGAAGTTATTGGAAGTTGAAAGCCACATTTAAACTTTCAACAATCGAAATGTATTAATTTATAGTACTTAAATGGAGAACAAAATAAGTACTTTTATAAGTGCAACGCAAACCTGACGGCTTGGGAGGCACTAAAGCATTTTGAATTATATAGTGCCGTAGTCCCCGCCCCCATTTACGTTCAGTGCACACGAGCGATACGCACGTGCAAGTGTTGGCCCAAAATCTAAATATGAAAATGATCTCCATCCAATAAGCATTTGTCAGCAAAAATAAGGTCAAAGCCCTTAACCATCGTTCAAGCATACTGTACCTCCCCGCACAGGATGGCTGTAGACATGGTGGTTGGGTCTGTGATATTCACAACACCTCAAGAAAATTAAAACGCTTACTTTGGAGAGCCTTTCAAAAAGCTTGTGGATGACTCGGATCATTTTTGCCAATTTTCTTAAATTATGAAT